ATTTTGCATTTTGCTTCGGGGGCGCTGCCCCTTGACCCCGCTTGGGTGCTGCCCCCTGGACCCCCGCGAGTTGACTAGGCAGCTCGATCCCCATCATAATCAGCGAAGTTGCAATCTTGAAAGTATTAACATCACAAACTTCTCTGCAAGGCATAATTTGGGTTGGATTCACATCTAAAAACTCATAACCTCACTGAAATAAAAAGTGCGAAAGCAAGTACAACTGAAAGGAGTTTTGTCAACCGGGATTGCCAAGATTAAAAACCTAACAGATAGCATGCAGTCTAAGTACATATTCAAAGAAGTATAAGCAATAACAAAGCGAGTTAGAATGATGAACCAAGCCTTGATGCATGCAATATAAGTGGATGCAAACATGAAGTATGCTAAACAAAACATGATGTCCCTAAACTAACCATCATAAGCAGTTAAATAAAAGGAAGAAAGACGTGGGGTTAGAAGACATACACATTATTATAGCATTTTGATCCCTCATGCAGGAGGGTGCAAATCAATGTCCGATAGTCCGAATTAAACTAACTATTACAAAACCGAATGAATGAATAATAATTAACTTAACTAAGCTAGTTAACTACTTTATTACAACAAACGAATCAACTAACTTTTCTAGTTAACTAACTAATTACAAAATGAAATTGAATAACTAATTGACTAACTAATTAGTTACAACACTTTACAAAACTAGCTAGTTATAACTAATTAATTACATTAAGATTAATTTATAACTATGATAATGATAACTTTAATGAAACAATTAATCGCATTCGACAAATGCGTAAATAAAGATGGATGAAGGTTGCATGCACAACGCCTGAGAGCTACTCTATCTGTCTAAGCCAACTCTATTTCACCTTCAGCCACTACCTCTGTTTTCTACAAAACTGCACTACTGGCCACACACTGAGGGCCAGCCGTGCATCAGTGATGGCTGATCGGGTCCACAGATGACTGACCGTGCATCAATTTGGTGCAAAACTCTGTTTTTGTGTTATGAGGTGAACCAGTGCAAATAGAGTGTTCTCAAGCTCTGTTTGTCCCTTTCTTTCTTCTCTGTCATGGGAAAGTCTCGAGAGAAGGTTGAAATTAATTCCAAAACCATCAACGAGCAAATTAATTGCTTGATGATCTCGAATACAATTTTGGACAAAAACCAATGAAATGCAATGAATATGACCACTCCTCCTTCTTGTCATAGAATGAACTCAAAGAGGGTGGTAGAGACGCTTCAAGAATCATCAAAATGCCATGAATTAGCGTATGATCACTCTTGACTCAATTAACTTGGCATAACGTCCGGCCAAGCCTAAGCAATTTAAGCCATTTTTTTTTTTTTTATATATGTTGATCCAATTTTAAACCAATTTGTTTAGTCATTGCCATTCATTAGTCTATTTGTCCATGGTGATGTTAAGTCCTCTAAAAGGAGAGAAGCATCAAATGTGAAGTAATTCTCAACATGAAAGAGAGATTACGCCGTTGAAAATGAATCTCCGTAGAAATTAAGCCATTAAGCTCGAAACTCTAGTTCATGTCTTGAATAACCATCAACCATTTGAAATAAATGTCGAATGAAATAAAGGAGTGACAACTTGATTATTAAAATGAGGTTATTAAATATGGAAATGAGTTAAAGAAAAGTTAGAACAACATGCAACAAGTTATACAAGTGAACTTATGAGACAACAAATGAACTAATCAAAGCATGAACTAATTAAATAAATTAAAATAGCTCTAAAACAGCCCCTAAAGTGTAAAAAATAGTGGCTAAAACCATGTTAAAAGAGCACAAAAAGATAGGCAAGAACAAAGAGATACAAAGCTAGTAAGCAAAGCTAAGGAGGAGTGGCTAACCCCTCCACTTTTGGGACTTTTAAACCATATTTTAGCCTCTGAAAATAGTCCAAAAGCAGCCCCAAAATAGTGGCTCAAATCAAAGAAATAAGTGGGAAACACTAGGATATAAGCTTGGAATAAGGTTCAAGGAAGAGTGGTTAACCCCTCCGCCTTTGGTAACTCTTAAATCACAAGTTTCAGCCCACAAAACAGCCCCAAAACAGTGTATAAATCAAGGAAAAGAGAGGAAAAGAGTAAAACAAAAATAAGGAAGATGATGCAAAAGTTATACCTCTTGAAAGAGAGGATGTTTGTAGTTAAACAAACTTGATTCCAACGCTCTCATGTTTTTGAAATTTAGTTTGAAATCTCAAAAAAAGCTCCAAGAACCAGCTCTAATGGTGTATGTATTGTGTATGTATAGTTAAAAGGTGACATGAAGTCAAGGAAGCTTTTGGATGGAAGATGGATGCTCTATTAATGTCTATGTTTTTGGAAGGTTTTCTAACCTTGAATTCTGAAGGAAGAGGTCCTATTTATAGAATTTGAGCCAAAAAGGTTGAAAATATCTTCAAACAAAGATATTTGGTCAATTCCCACCAGCTATCTGTCTGGCGTCACCGACACCCGGCCAGGCCTCAATAATGCACGGCCGGCCCAAAAAGTAACTCTGGAAAAGTTTTCATTGAAGCCCGGCCGGGCCTCAACATGGCCGGTTCTCAATGGACCCAGCCGGGTCTCAATGACTACACTTCAGGCCCGACTTCAAACGGGCATATCTCCCTCATCCGGACTTGGTTTCAGGTCATTCTTGAGTCTAAGTTGAAGCCCCGAAAGTCTACTTTCCAATAGTGGTGGCCTTACGTCTAAATTCTAAGTGTTCAAAGAGATATGTCTATTTTAGTGAAGACTACTCATTTATATCTTAACCGGATTGATGCCTAACTTCTTCGAACTAGTTTTCTTCCCTACCCTCCTATTTTCTTGAACTCCAAACCTATAAAGAAGATGTTTTGAAAGATTTTTCAAAGATTTCACCTCTCTTCCATGTATTTCCACTTTGTCCTTACTCGATTTACCGAAAGGTGCAATGTTTCAAACGAAATGCGAGCCTCAGACATCGTAAAAACATTGGAGAAAGATTTTGAAAGGAGGGTTTTAAGATCTAAAATAGTTTGGCCAAAATGGAGTATAACATTTGGGATTAAAGCTTGAATCCAAATTTCTTCGCTGAGAATTCAAAAGATTGCACAGTGTAACTTTTATCATTGGGTGTTCGGAGTAAAGTGCCCAAGTCTTAAGGGCGGTCAAAAATGGGGTATCTATACACTCCAATCCTTTGAGCAACTTACATCAGGAAATGCAATGAGATCATTATTGTATCAAGCGTTTAAGATCGTGATTCATGCCTGTATCCATTCCCAATTCAGCAACTTGATTAAGTAAACCTAAAAACTATACATATTTTAACTTGAACCAACTTCAAATGAAGCAACTAAAATAACTCATTGAAAGTTGAGCATAATTTAGAAACATTGAATGTTTAGTAGTAGCCTTGTGAATCTCAACATACACCGTGTACACCTAGTAAACAAATAGCCTAGTGAAACATAAGAAACTCTTTTAGACCATAGACCACCCGTTCAAACAAAAGTTCACCACATTAAAAAATTTAGTCATCATAATTCTCCATCATAAAACATAATACATACTGTATCCTCACAACTATTTTCCAAATATTGCTGTTTTATAATAACTAAGATCCTTTTTTTTTTTTTTTCATTTTTCATTTTTTACTCGTTAGAACCTACACTGAAAAATATATAAAACCCCAGATATTGATTTGTGATTATGTATCAATTTTAAACAGTAAATAACAATCCCAATCAAACAATCAAAGACGAATCGATACAATGATTTAATGTGGAAAAAGCACAATTGGAGCTCCTCCAATTGTGATACAAAAACCATGGGCCAAAGCCACAAAACAATCCACTAAGAAGACAAATTGAACCGACTCCAATGTGCCTTTTCCACCACCGTCTTCACCTTGGAATTATCTTGTCCAACGTTGAATTCGTAACACTCACTACAAGAAAAAGCATTTTTGCCGACCACTTTTAGCTACCAAAACTAATTTAGTCGCCAAAAGTCACGGAATTGGCTACCAAAAATAATATTAGTCGGCAAAAGTTAGATTTTTAGCTACTAATTTTTTTTAGTAGGGGAATGTTGATTATTGGCTACTAAAAAAAATTTAGTAGCTAAAGATATTACAATTGGTGACTAAAACAATTTTTAGTAGCTAAACATATGACAATTGGCGACTAAATAAAAATTTAGTAGCCGTAGAGGTACCTTTAGCTACTAAATTGTTTGGTAGCCAAATGAAAATAAAAAAATTAATTTTTAATCTTTCCCGACCAAACTTTTGGTCGCCAAATGTCAAGTTTCGGCGACAAAATTTCTTTTAGTCGCTGTATACCTACTTTCGGCTACTAAATTGTTTGGTAGCCGAATGAAAATAAAAAAATTAACAAAATAGTTATTTTATTTTATTAATAACAATACCATTAGTCTCCACTTGAAAATTTGACTAAACAAAATAGTTATTTTTATTTTTATTTTTAGGTTGTACACCCACCATCCAAAATTATTAATATCTTATTTTATTTTTTATTATCTCAAAATATTAATTTTTTAAAAAAATTAATTATTAAAATAATATGAATTTCTTATTTTATCCAAGAAATGAAACACATACACTCAACAAACCTAAAAGCACCTGAAGAAATGATGCAATGACATTGATCAGCATATTGATCCATATATATATCTGATAAAATATATCTAAGGTGGATCAGAATAATCTTCTAAAACATAGACATATATGTGGCCCAGATACAGGGAAATGAAACCCAGGATTCAGGAAGTCAAATATTTGCAGATCCGGGAGACAGCAATATATCCCAGTATGTAAATTCAGCATCTCTACTGTCATTCCTAGAAGCCATGGGTTTGAACCTAGCCAGGGTCACAAGTACAAGAACACTTAACTAGACCATTCGCCATCCCTATGGCTGATATAACAAGTGCTAAGAACAAACATGTGGAGAATTTCATGTTAGGAGGCACATACAGGAATGTTTAGCTCCAACGGTGCTGAATAGAAGTGTTGATCAATGCTTGAAGCTCCTTTCAGGAACCTTCAAGTACAAAGTGGAAAATATATAAATTCAGGAAACTGCCGACCAAAATAAGACCATGATGCCAAAATAAATTGCCAAACTGTGGATGGTGTGAACTTAAATCATAGCATAACTACTAAGAAAATCACCATAGGTCAGAAAAGCGTTAGAGACTGTTGTGATGTTAAAAGCTTGCTGCCAACCATGACAATTTTTATTTTATTTTTTTTAAATTTTTGGGAACAGCAACTTCATAGCATATGTTGCTGGAATATCCTGAGTGTACCTTTCTTTTTTGCACATTTCTATTTTATTTTTGGTGTGTGTGTGTGTGTGTGCACACGCGTTGGTGTGTGAGGTAATGGCCTTTTATTTTCATCTAGTTTACAAGCAGAAAGCGTCCTCATATTGTCATCCTTTATTCTAAACGACACTCAGAAGTCTAGGATAGTCAGGCAAGGCAAATGTATTGTCATATAGTTCACAGAGATTGGGACAAGTAACAATACTAATAATTTCACTTCCCTAACCAGAATTTAACTACTCAACTCATCTATGGGGACATTTTTATTTGTGCAAGAATGAAGTGAAACCATCCATCATGAGTCATGAAAACTAAACTTGCAATTAGGACTATTAAAGTAATGCCATATGAAGAAAACTGGAGCCTGCAAAGAGCATCTAAAGTTTCACCTTTGTGTACAGATTTTGTAAGTAGACAAGTACGGTTTTTTGCGAAGTTAATTTTTTAAACATTTCTTTCATTACAATACAAATTTTCCTTCAAGAAGCTAAAAGAAAAATAAGATTTTATACATCAAATTCTATATATCATTTTCAGATAGAGTGTTAAATTAAATCCAAAATAATGAAAAAATAACTTCTGCAAATAAATAAATGTGCAAGTTACTGTACTTCTCAACAACTGTGAATCCATATTGGAGAGATAAAGGTAACACTCCAAAAGCGCTGCAAACTGCAAACAGTGGTCAAATATCAATCAGGCATCATATTAACCACATGATTTATGAAAAAAAGGCAATGTACTTACCACTATGTCGACCACCAACCCAATCCCAGAACGCAAAAGCATTATTAGGGTCAATCCCAAACTTTTCTACAAGCTGCACAGAAGATTAAACAATACAGACACTATAAGAATTTTCACTATTGGCGACTAAATTTTTAGTCGCCAAAAGTCAATTTTTAGTCGCCAATGGCTTTTAGCAACTAAATTATTTGGTTGAAGCATTAGTCGCTGAAGAATTGTTGGGAAAGGTAATTGGCGACTATAATTATTTTATTAGCCAAATGTATTCAATTGCCGACTAAATTTTTAGTCGCGAAAAGGTTGGAAATAAAATTAAATAGCACATTTTCGGCCACTAACGGTTTAGTCGCCTAAAGTGTTATGTTTTTGGCTACTAAAATTTTAATTGGCAAATAATTTGTGTTTTGGCTACTAATATTTTAGTCA